AGCATCGATCATTGTAAAATATGGGAAAAATATTTTACCATTTTCTCAGTTATGCTACAACCATGCTATACATCTTGCTGTACTTGATGTATTTTATAAAAAAGTGGGAGTTTAATTACGAATGATGATGCGGTAATTGATACAAATTTGGATGATGAGAATTTAGAATATAATGAAAATTTAGCAGATGATGATTGTGTTGAAACTACCGAACAAAATGATGAGGTAGCTGATGTATTTGCTTTTGATGGTAACTTAAATTTCCAAAATGATTCAGTTAGACAATTACCAATCTTTCGTGAAGACATTGGCAAAATTCTTGATGAAACACAAAAAATTATTAAATTTTTCAAATATTCTTCAGTTCGAAGCAGTGTTCTTGAAAAGCATATAATAGATCAAGAAGGCAAAAAGTTACGATTGCTACTCGATTGCAAAACAAGATGGAACTCAATAATACCAATGGTAAATCGTTTCATAAAAATATACGATTGTATACAAAAGGCTCTAATGGAATTAGGTCAGCAAAAATGTTCAGAAAAAAATATCAAAGTTTTAGAAATATCACATGTTTTACAACCGGTTGAGTTTGCTGTAAAGAGCTCAGTAAAGATAATAATAATCTTTTAAAAGCTGAAGGAGTATGCATTTTTTTGCTAAACAAACTAAAAGAAACAAATACGCAGTTAGCCATGGAAATGTTCACTGCTTTGAAGAAAAGAATCGAAGAAAGACGAAATGAGGATGTTGTATCACTCTTGCGTTTTTTACAATCTGGAAATTATCCTAAACCAGATATTAACTACCATTTTACTTATTTAAAAAAAGGTTCTATTCATTTATTGGCTAAAGAAACCTTCAAAAGGCTGTTCAATGAAGATCCTGCAAACACACAGATGGATACAGAGTTAACAATTGAAAATAAAGAAATAATTTCAAATAATGGTTTGGTTTCAAATTATGATGAACTCCAAAAAAACAATTGAATTAATTATGACTGTTCCGAAAAAAAATAATGAGAGAAAATCCACATTGGAAAAAGAAATGAAGTTGTGGGAAAAAGATTGTATAAAATGAGGTGACTCTATTGGAAAACTTTTTACAGCATTATTGACAATACAACCAATGTCAACAGTAAGTGAAAGAGTGTTTTCGGTAGCTTCAGCTTTTGTCACAAAAACCCGAAATCAGTTGAAAATGGAAACGGTTGACAAACTTGTTTTTTTAAAGTATTATTTTTTAAATAAAAAATAGATTTAAAACTAAAATTGTTACATTTTATTTTAAATTTAATTAACACAACATGGTGTGGGTAAATTTTTTTTCCTTTACCTGGATACCCGGGTAATGAAAAAAATAAATACTTGATTACCCGGATAATTGAAAATACGATTATTTGGACTCACTAATATATATATATATATATATATATATATATATATATATATATATATATATATATATATATATATATATATCTTGCATCTCACACAGTTACATGTTAAAGAACAAGAAAGAACAACGTTAAATACCTTACCTCTGAAGAAGTTAAAAAAAAATCTGTTTGCTTTTATATAAAAAACCAGATCGTTTGTTTTTCCAAGTTGTTAAACATTTATTGTACGAGGTATGTGATTAAACAAAAATAAGGTTGTATTTGTAAAGTTTCTAAATTATATATTTTTCTTGATTTATAAATTTTTATAAAGATTAATTTATATTTATGTGTTATTTATGTTTATGTGTTTAGGTTATATGGGTTTATATTTTGTAAGTGTGTAAATATAATTTATGTGTTTGTAAATATCTTTTTAAATTGTTGTGACTTAGCTTAGTTTACAGCAAGTGTGTTGATTTTGCTAGCCAAGTGGTGTACTTTGCTATAATGTGACTTGGCTTTGTTGGGAGCAAGATTGTTGTCCACGCCAGTTAAGTGGTGTACTGCAGTACACCACTTAACTGGTGTGTAACAGTACTGTAACAGTACTGTTACACACCAAACAGTAACAGTACTGTTATGATGAAATACATAAACTAAATCTGTTTGTAGTTAGTGTAGTCGAAAGAATGTGTTTATAAGAAATGTTGAAAGATATATAGTTTTTTAATATCTATAATAATTTTCTTAATATTTATAATTTTAAGTAACTTTTATTGAACAGATATTATACTTCATTAAATAATTTTTATACTGTTAGTTTTTGAGTAAATTTATTTAAAAGTGTACAGAATATATATTATGGTATAAAAATTTGTATAAAAATGTACATAATATATATTATTGACTTTTTTTCTTTAGAATATTAGATATCTGAAAAAATTTAAATAGTTAAACAAGTTTCAATATTTCCAAGTTTCTTCACTTAAAGCAAATATATGATGGTTTATAGAGGTTTTCTTTTATTAGTTTTGTATTTACTTATTTATTGCAAATCTTGCATTAAATGCATTTAAAGTAATGAAAGGGTTTTCATGACGAATGGTTACATTTTATCCATATAGTTTTATTACTTATAGATTACATTTTATCCTTATAGTACTTGCTGAGCAGACAGGCCTTATTATTTTTAATTTGCTTTATTTATGAGTTCTTAAATGTAAAAAATTTGTTTTTTAAATTACTTTACTTTTGTTTTTTTGATTAAATACTAATAATATTTTGTCAATAATTAATTACAACTAACTTAAATATGTAACAATACTCAGTTTAAAAGATTATATCAATTTATTTATAACTTTAATTTAACCTTTTAATAAAAGTATGTTATCTTAACACATTGTTATATATGGTAGAATATAAAAGGTTATTATATTATGCTCTATATTATTTGCTTACACTTTATTTTAGATTATTTTAAAAAAGAAAACTCAATTTTTTATTATATTAGGCATAATTTTTACACACCTTTGATGCATGATTATGTCTAATAATTTAAGAAATAAAACTATTAGACTTCGTCAAAATGAAAAAAGACAGGCTAGACGAGCTGAGATAAACCGCCGTTGGAATGAAAGAGATGAGCCCAGACAAGCTGAGATAAACCGCAGTCAGAATGAAAGACGTAAGTCCAGGCAAGCTGAAATAAATTGCAATCAAAATTAAATAAATTAGGCTAGGCCAGAACTCAATAGGTATAATATGCATCGCATAGCAAGAAATAATATTGCTACTGAGAGTAATTACCTCAGAGAATTCGATCATAATTGTCAGTATTGTAGTGCAAAGAAATTTTAAAATGAAACTCATTTTTTGTGCCGTCATTCAGGAAAAGTTGTATTAGCTCCTCTTTCTCTATATCCACCATTGTTGATTGATTTAATGACAGGAAACCATGTTGATCATGCTGTAAATCAAAAAAAATTTAAACACATAAGGAGTTATAATTCCTCTTTATCTTTTGCTTACTTCACTGCCGAATTAGCTCTTCCCTCAAATAATGGCCCTTTCTGTTTTAGGGTGTGTGGGCAAATTTTGCATCGTGTTGGAAATTTGAGGTTTGCAGAGGGCGATTTGCCCAAATATTGTCAGTTATATATGTATGATCCTAATGCAGCAGTGTCATTCAGAATGGAGCAACCTGGTAATGATGGTTGTATACGCGAGTTAATGTACCTTTTGGGTACATTAATTAATCAAGAAAACCCATTTGCTCTTGCATTTAAAAATGTGGCAGAAGTAGAGGATGAAGAAATCTGCGAAGCAAAAAAATTAATTGGTTGCATGACACGTTAATTTGTAATTAATGTGTAATATGTATAAAATAAGTTTATATTTTTATTTTATCTCAAGAAAAATATGTTTTTTGTTTCTTAAGTAAATATCTATATTTTTTTATTTTGGATTTATTGTTTCAAATGGGTATATTGATCATTTTTGCATTGTTTTTTATATTTTTGTTGCTTTTTATATATACGAATAGAAACCATTTATACTTAAAATTGTATTTTGTACTCGAAGTTTCCATTTGCATTAAGTATTGATTAGCACAAACAATGTTTAATAATTTCGGATGTAAAACAGCTTAATTGAATGAATTTGTAAACAGTTTTGTTTTTTACAGTAACGTTTTTATAAAAAGTATCAAACGGATAAAGCTAACTTATTTAAAATAACAAGTCTCTTTGGCCCATTTTCTGATGTCCAAATTTGTTTTTTAAATAAATCTTGATGAGAGGGTAAAATCTTGATTATAGCGGTTAAGTTTTCAAAAACACCTGAAGCTTTTCAAAAACACCTGAACACCTGCAACTGTCTCTATTATGTTAAAGATCCTTTTATGTATAAAATATTGGAGTACATTAAGTAAATAAGTACAGTTTCTAAAGTATATTAAGTCAATTGTTAATAAAAAAATTTAAATCAACTATTTTTTTGCTGTTTACTTAAGGTATAGAGACCTAACTAAAAACAAGTTTGGAAATAGTCGAATGTGGAATAGAGTTGCCGCAACCCGTATCGCACCGGTCACCACAGTCAATCCCGCAATTAAAACAGTATAATTCTAAATATATTTTAACAATTATATAAATTTCTTATAATTATATAAACAATTTAAATTTTTTTTTACAGAAACCCAGTCGGCACCGGACCTAAAAAAGACGTTTTAAACATCTTTTTCTGGTAGACAAACTTTAATTGTAATTGCAATTAAAATTCTTATATTACCATCTACCAGAACTTTAAATTGATTTTTTTTTTTTTTGCTGTTTACTAAATAAATTAAAGTATAAAGACAAAATAACAAGTTTAAAAACCGTTGAGCGTAAATAAGACTTGGCACGACCCGTATCGTACGGGTCATACCAGCTAGTTTATATATATTTGCATATTTATATAAATATATACACAAAAACACATATATAGAATATATTCCTAACAATATTGTATACAATATTTTGTTAAAAAGTCAGAAACTATTGATAATCAAAAAAGTGAAAATAAAAAAAGTATTTTCAAAACTATATTTCTATAGTTATTATTGCTTATAACTTTAACTTACCCACTATCCTGGCGTCTATGCATAGACATAGCTTTGACTTGAAGTGATTCCGGATTAAAAATTTCATCATATGCTATAAATAATTTATGTATATAATCAAAAATCATTTTCAATTACATTCTTTGTTTAAATTTACTTTAGTTAAAACATTCAAGTTCTTAAAAAACAAACATTTTTTTAACTAGCAGTTACTTATTTAATCCCTATCAATTATAATTCAAGAAGCAGTTTAAACCAATTATATTTGAAGAAATTTGCAGTTTAAACCAATTATAATTCAAGAAACTAGCAGTTTAAAACTTAATAACTTTTATTAACTTAATTACAGTTTTAAACTGTTGAAACTAGCAGTTAACAACTTAATTTTAACATTGCAACAAAAAATCAAAACAACTACTAAATAATTGCAATAATCAAAACTAAACAAAAAAGTTAATAAATAAAAAATAGAACATCACTTCTAAGTAACTTAAAAACGTAACCTATATTTTAAGATTAAAAAAAAAAAAAAAGAAATAAAATTGTTTAAATAACCTCAAAGTAAACATACTGTTTTTAACTTTAATGTCCTGTATAAAATCTTGTAATTTGTTCTGAGCTTGTTCTGCCTTTTTACGTTCTGTTACTAAATTCTTTTTTAACTCTTTTATCTATATGTTAAAATAAATATAAAATTATGCAACATAATTATATGAGTAATATAAAATGATGCAAAATAATTACATGGGTAATATCATTAAGTTATGCAAACTAAATAATAAGTTTAAAATTATAATTCTTAATATAAATAAATTAATAATGAAGAATTTTTTTTTTGTGGCAATAGTTTATATTAGCTGCATTTTGGAAGCTAAAGCCCTCAATCACTATGTCAGTATGATGTCACCAATGATATTTTGTGTAGCAATCTGGCATTTATATTTGGAAACACCAATTTTTTTTTTAAAGTCAAATTTTGTTTGTTTTGGTGAAGAATTTAATGGGGATTCTAAATCCACAAAAAAATGATGTTTTGTGTGGGTAATCTCAATCGTTTTGAACAGGAAATGGACTAAAATAATTGATTAATTAGTATATTAAAATATGACTAATTAAAGAAAAAAGCTATGATAAAAACTTTTAGTTTTTGCTATAAACTCAATAATTATTATGTTGTATTTTAAGAAAATTTCAAATTTTAAAATCAAAAATTTGTAAAAATTGGTAAAAAAAAAAGTTATAAAAATGACTATACTAAGATTAAAAAAAAAGTTAAGCAATTTTTTCCTACTTTAGACAAAAAAAATGTCTGTTGAGTATAGGGTGGAATATTGTCTGTAAAGTGTAGGGTGAGAAAGTGTCTGTAGGGTGTAGGGTGGGAAAAACCCTGTAGGGTGCATGATTTTTCTCTCATTCTTACTAAAATAAAATAAAAAGTTAATTTTTTTAAAGAATTTTAGTTTTTGGTAAGGAAGGACCTCTAAAAATATAAGTTTATAGACTACTAATAGAAAAAAAATCATGACTTTTAGGTCAGAGGAACAATTATTTTATGAACCCAGAGTCCTTAGGTATAATGGTGGCAAGGCCTAAGGGACTGCAGAACTCATTAAACCACATGAATTTTTTTCTAATAGCAGATCATAAGTCAACAAGCATGTTTAGAGCTTCTGGACACCACAGGCTTGGAAAAAGTAGAGATATAAAGCCGGAGTCCTTTTGGAATTCCGCATCCCTGAATTAAAGTCCATGCTTAGTTTAAAAAGTAAAAAAAAAACCTAAACTGAGTTTCAGTTCCAATAAAATAATAAAAATAAAATTCCAGTTAAAATAACTAAAATATCAAAACAAGAATTAATTGCATTAATTTGAATTAATTAATTAATTGCATTAGCAATCAAACCACTAAAATGGTCTGCATGATTTGCATTTAGTGAATCAATTATTTAGATTCTGGTATTCCAAAAATAAAGAAAAAAATCAAGAGTACAAAAGGTGCTAAAGAATAAAGAGGATGATAATACCCAGTTTAGAGCATTTTTATTTGTATTTTGTAAAAAAAGGCTATGTAATTATGTTTGTACTTTGATTGAATTTAATTAAAACATTTTTTTAAATCTTTGTAGATCTTTTAATTTTTATTTTTTTATTATTTTTTATTTTAGATTTTTTTTGTTGTTGTTATTTGCAGATTTTACTAAAAAATTTATTTACAAAAATGAACTTTATTTATAGAACTTAATAAAAATAAGAAAATCAATGCACCTATGGTCACATTCCCTTCCTAAAATAAGGAAAAATTAAATAAATTTTCTAAAAACAACTTTTACCATTTTTACAACTATTTTAATCAAATATTAATCAAGAGCTTTCTTTAAATTCAACATAAAAATAAACAAACTTATTTAAAAAAATTTTCATCTTTAATTAGTCATATTTTATTCATTTTCCTATTGAAAACAACACGGACTTCCCAAATAAAACATGTTTTTTTTTTTTAATCTTTAAAAGTCATATTCTTGTTATACAATATATTTATAAATATGTAAGTTGAATTTGATTTAAAAAAAAACCTACATCTTTTTTTTTTTAAATAGATTTTATATAATATTTTAATAATAATAATATATATTTCGCCATAAAGAAAATATTTACAAAATTAGACTTTAAAAACTGTATATACACGGCTGGAGCAAGAAGAAGACAAATTCAGTCTTATCGCCAAGCTCCTTAAACACATGCATATATTAGCGAAATAAATTGGACACAAAAGGGTTACCATAAATCATAGAAACAAGATTTTTTGCCAACCTCAAACACTTTAAGATTGGCAGTTAGTTCGAAATTGTCGAATAACGACCTTAACTCGGAGAGCTATATATATTTTATTATATATATGCATATAAATATATATATATAATATATATATATATATATATATATATATTTGTATATAAATATATATATATATATATATACATATATATATATATATATATATATATATATATATATATATATATATATATATATATATATATATATATATATATATATATATATATATATATATATTTATATACAGATTGTTGGGGTATCTATCTTAAGGGGTAAACAGATTCTATCTATTGACCAGCTTTGCACCCCTTCTCCATCTATTAGGCTGGCGCAGATGTATTTTTAATACATTGTTTCCAGTTTAGGATGTTGAACGCTGGATCTTCTTGACTCGATGCATGGGTTTTGCCTGTGTCTCTGTTTTTATGACTAGGCAACTCATTCTATTACCTCCAAATAAGGGTACAGCTCTAAAACTCAGTTTTATGGTTCTGAGGCCGGCTGGTAGTCAGGTTTCCCGAACTCTGTGGTAGCTCTCAGAGAGGCTGATTCCATCAACAGCTGAAAAATATCAGAGCACTAACAGTGCCATGTTGCACATGGATGGTGTCCCTGTTGGTACTTTTGGTGTGCATTGCCAAGGTCACATTGGAGCCCTTTGTTACGGCTTAGGGTTTATTAGTGGAAATGAGGCAATTGCTTGGGCTATAAAACAGTGTACTGAGTACTATCTATGTTTCGAGTCAAGTACTTTAACAAATTTAAAAATGAATAAAGTAACAAAAACTTATAAAACACAAAAAACCACAGTCAACACCAAGTTCGCTAAACCTATCATTCACCAATATTCGTGGTCTTCAAAGTAACTTTTCTTCTGTTGAGTCTTATCTCTTGCAAAGTTCACCAGACCTACTTGCTCTTTGTGAGACTAATTTGAGTTCAGCTGTCTCATCTTGTGATCTTAGTATTGATAGTTATCTTCCTTTAATTTGTAAAGACTCCAATAGCCACATGCTTGGCCTAGGCATTTACACTCGTAAGAATTCACCCATTTGTCGGGAAACTAGGTTTGAATCCACAAACTACTCTTTTATGTGTTTTCGTTTAGCACCACTTCACTCTATCACCTTTCTCTTTGTTCTATATCGCTCTCCTTCATCTTAAGACTGCACTCTTCTTGATGTTATTTCTGATTATATTGACCAAGTCCTCAATCTTCATTTATCAGCTAATATTGTGGTTGTCGGTGACTTTAATGTTCTTCACATTGAATGGCTTGACTCTAGTGTCAGTGACTCTGCAGGCATTAAGGCCCACAACTTTTGTCTTTCTCAATCCCTAACTCAAATAGTCAACTTTCCAACTCACTTTCCAGACAACCCGAATCATTTACCTTCTCTACTCGACTTATGTCTTGTTTCTAATCCTAGTCAGTGCTCAGTTTCACCACACTCACCCTTAGGTGCTTCTGATCATGGTTTGGTCTCTCTAAAACTATTATCTCATTCTTCTTTACCATCAGAATCCCCCTATTATTGTACATCTTACAACTACCTTAAAGCTGACTGGAACTCTTTCCTTGATTTTCTTCATGATGGCCTCTGGGTAGAAATCTTTCGTCTTCCTGTTGACAAATGTGCTTCTTACATAACTTTGTGGATTAAGGCTGGCATGGAATCCTTTATTCCCTCTCGACAATTCCAGGTCAAGTCTCACTCTTCCTCATGGTTTTCCTCACATTGTGCTGCTGCAATTGCTAATCGAAACCATTACTTCCATCAGCAAAACAATTCTCCAGAAAACAGACGTCTGTTTATTACTGCTAGGAACCATTGTAAAAAGGTTTTGTCTAACGCCAAAGCTCGCTATTCTCAGATCTAGAAATCTCGTATTTCATCACAAAAATTAAACTCTTGTGACTTCTGGAGAATCTTTAATAGTATCAATAATAAAGGCAAGTCTGTAATTCCCCCTATTTTGTATGGTTCAGACTTTGTCACCTCACCTAAAGACAAAGCTGAATTGTTTGCCAAGAACTTTTCATTAATATCATCTCTTGATTCCACTAGTTGAGTTCTACCTGATATAGCCGTCAAACAGGTTGATCCACTGCTCGACATCCGTATCACTCCAGTTTCTTATCTAAAGTGATTTCCTGCTTAGACTTTTCTACAGCTTGCGGCCCGGACAACATACCTGTTATAGTCTTGCAGAAGTGTTCTCCGGAGCTGTCGTCTATCCTTTCAAAACTATTTAACAAGTGTTAATTAGAGTCTTGTTTTCCAGCCTGCTGGAAAGCATCATCTGTTATCCCTATTTTTAAAAATTCTGGAGAGCGATCCGATTCATCTAACTACCGTCCCATTAGTCTTCTTCCTATTATAAGCAAGGTTTTTGAATCTTTAATTAACAAACACTTAATCTCTCATCTCGAATCTCATAACCTACTTTCTGATCATCAATATGGATTTCAATCTTCTCGTTCTACGGCTGATTCGCTAACAGCAATAACTGATAGGTTTTATACTCTTTTTAATTTTTATTAACGATCTTCCAGATATTCTCACATCTAAGGTGGCATTGTTCGCTGATGATACTACCATTTATTCTTGTCATGATAAGAAGCTCTCTGATTGCTTGGAGGAAGCATTTGAGCTTAAAAAGGATGTCACTTCTGCTACAGCATGGGGCTCACAGTGGCTGGTGAACTTTAATTCAGATAAAACTCAATTTTTTTCAGCCAATCGTTATCTCAATAATTTAGACCTGAACGGTAATGTACTCGATGAGTCATCTACCCTTCATTTTCTAGGATTAACTCTCACTTCTGATCTTTCTTGGAAACCTTATATCAAATCCGTTGCAAAATTAGCATCTGTTAAAGTCGCTTCTCTTTATCAAGCTCGTCACTTTCTTACTCTGGATTCTATTCTCTATATCTATAATTCTCAAATCCGGCCTTGTATAGAATACTGTTGCCATATCTGGGGTGGATCTTCTAATGATGCCCTTTCTCTTTTAGACAAGGTGCAAAAATGCATTGTAAACATAGTTGGACCTACTCTTGCAGCCAACCTTCAACCTCTGTCACATCGTCGTAATGTTGCTTCTCTTTCTCTTTTCTACAAATACTATAATGGGCACTGCTCTAAAGAGCTAGCGTCTCTTGTGCCATCTACAAAAATTCATTCTTGTGTTACTCGTCATTCAATTAAGTCTCATCCTTTTTCTGTTACTGTTCCTAAGTGCTCCAAAAACTCTTATTCATCTAGTTTTTTTCCTCGAACATCAGTTCTTTGGAATTCGCCTCCTTCATCTTGCTTTCCTGATTCATATAACTTGCAATCTTTTAAGTCGTCTGTCATTCGTTATCTTGCTCTACAACCTTCATCTTTTCTCTACCAGTAACTTCCAACACTAATTAGTGGTTGCTTGCAGCCTTGTTGGAAGCGAGATGTTAAAAAAAAAAATCCCTCCCTCTCACCACAACATCATAACTCTTTATTAACAAGTCCTGTAATAATGGACTTTTAAAATGAGTCAATGTCAGATGCAAATTACATAAATAAATAAGAATTTAAATTTACAAGTGGTTAAAGACCATGTAAATAATACTGAATGATAAAATATATTATTCTGTATTTTATATATATATATATATATATATATATATATATATATATATATATATATATATATATATATATATATATATATATATATATATATATATATATATATATATTATACTGCTATTATTAGATGGGTTTTGCAGTGGTAGTTTTTAATGTGTTTTGAGTTGCAGTTTACATATATTTTAAACAAGTAATATTTATTTGTAAGATTGAAAATTTAATTTTAATGAGAAAAAAAACTTTCTCATAATTTTAAAATTTTGAGAAATGCAAAACAATAATTACCATTTGTTCATTTTTTTTGTTAAGAATTCGATATTCTACATCTTTGTCTTTGAGACTTTCTTTTAACTTCTCCACTTGTAAGTACAAATCATTTTTTTCTATGGTTATTGATTGCAATGAATGTTCTAAACTCTGACACAAAAATTGTATTACTTATATTTATTACACACACACACACTCACACACTCACATACACACACACACACACACACACACACACACACACACACACACACACACACACACACACACATGGACATACAGTACTGTGAATATGTTTTAGACACTTATATAATTAGTTGTATTTTCAATTTTTTTTTCTGTGTATTTTTTTTTTAAGCATACTTGAGTAATATTTGAGAAAGGTTGAAAGAATATATTATCTTGAATAAATAAACAAAAATTTATGAGGAACATGAGGGATATGTTTGTTTATTTATTAAAACAATAATTGTCATAATAACTGCAGACCAAGCGTTCATCTAAATAATACATAAAAATAATATTTTCAATTTTTTTCTTACTGGTTCAGGTTCATATTCGTTCATTTAAGTTTTTAACAGTATAAAATGTAGTCATAGAGTGAATTTAATACAATAATGATCGGTTTTGGTACATTTTTTAAAAAGTTGTTATTTTTTATGAATACAGTTAAACAAATAGTTAAAAATAATTAAATAAAGTTATTAGTTTACATTTTTAGATTAATTAAGTGTTGCTATGGGTAAAATATCTTTAATAGAGAGACAGAAAGTTATTGTGCTTCACGAAGAAGGTTATTCGCAGCGCCAAATTTCTTCCAAAACAGGATATTCCAAGACTGCTATTAGAGAAATCATTAAAAAGTTTAGAGAAACTGGCTCCCTTGGAAATAAAAAAAAAGTGGCAGACCTCCTAAGCTAACAAAGATGACGATAAATATTTAAAAACCCTTTCTTTAAGAAACAGGAAAAAAACATCCACCGAATTGGCAAAGGACATTAATACAGCAACTGGGAAAAATGTTAGCTCTTCTTGTATTCGACGACACCTACTCAAATCAGGATTACGACGCTGCGTTGCTATTCGAAAACCTTTATTACGGCGTGGCAATAGAGAAAAACGACTTAAATATGCAAAACAACACAAAGATTGGACCCAGGAAATGTTTAATCGGGTTCTGTACACTGATGAGTCCAAATTTGAAATTTTTGGAACAAAAAGACGTCAATATGTTCAAAGAAGAATAGGAGAAGCCTATCAGCCTGAGTGTTTAAACCCTACTATTAAACACGGAGGAGGCTCTTTACAAGTTTGGGGCTGTTTATCTTCATCTGGGGTAGGTGATCTGATCAAAATAGAGGGACAACTCACCGGGGAACGTTATGTGGATATTCTAAGACAGCATGCTATACCATCCGGAATGAGACTAATGGGCCATAATTTTATTCAGCAGCAGGACAATGACCCAAAACATTGTTCCCGAGTGGCAAAAAGTTATTTAAATGAAATGGCAGAAGAAGGAATACTGGAAATGATGACCTGGCCTCCCCAGAGTCCAGATTTGAATATAATCGAGCATATTTGGGATTACTTGGACAGGAAAAAGGTCAAACATGCTCCTGAAATGCTGAAGAATGTTTTCAAGTACTTCAAAGAGAATGGCACAACATACCTCAGGATTTTATAACAAATTTGTATGAATCTATTTCCCGGCAAATATCGGCTGTGATTAAGGCACAAGGAGGACATAGTAAATATTAAGGGTTTTTTTATGAAGTGTGACATTAAAAAGTTTGTTTTTGTTCCATATTTGTGTGAAATATATGTGTTTTAATAATTTTATAATATAGAATTCGAAACTTAAATATTAAGGAAGAATTCTCTTGGATTTTTTGAGAAAATTTAAGTGGTCTAAAACATATTCGCAGCACTGTATATTTACACACACACACACACACACATAGCACACATGCACATATATTTAATAGTTTAAGGCGTATGATTCCCCATTAGCGTGGCTAAAATTTCAAAATGATTGAAACAATTTTCACAACTAGATGTCCTTCCTGGCAATAAACTGTTTTGGAGATCAGGACTATCCAAAATTTACAAATTTTAAAATCAAAATTTACAAATTTTAAGGTCCTGATCTAAATTCCTGATTCTATTTAGGAATATCCAACATTTACAAACTCCTTTTACCTGTACCTTTATGTGTTAATCATTATCCTCATGAGAATAAAAGTAAACATTAAAGTTAAAATAATGTCTGCAAACAACATTCATAAAAATCATAATCAATTATTTTTAAAACATAAAAATAATTGTTTGCAATTATTTGATATAAATTATTAGATATAATCCAATCAATCAACTATTGTATTTAATTAAGAATAATACAAAAAATTATATTAAAAAATAATAGATAATACAAATTATAATAACAAATAATAGATAATACACTATAGCTACTAATACATAATACATCAAACAACAATATAACGCAATAATATAACAAATAACAATTAATAATAATTATAAAAAATAAGGTCAAAAATAATAAAGGTTAGCGTTAGGTCTAAAATTCTTAACACAAAGGTTTCACCATAACAATAGAAAAAAGGTCGGCAATAAATTGTTAACTTTAGAAACTTTAGGTCACATTATCAAATGCGGACTCTAATTCACAGTGCCGTTATAATACAATGAATAACAACACAATAATAGCAAATCTGACACAAAATTTATTAATTATTACTTCTTTTTCCAAGCAATATTTTGAAATCAAATCTTCAGTACTTTTTTCAAAGCTCTCTTTAATTGCATTAATCTCACTGATATGTTTCTCTTCATTTCTTTTATTGCTTTCCTTATAAAGAACACATACACATTTTTACAGTTATGATTTTAATATAATGTGATCAGTACATAAATAAGTTTAAAATGTCACAAACCTTACTATCTGTAAAATGGTTTTGCAGGATATCTAATTTCTCTTGTAAGGTTTTTGATTGGTCTTCTAGTGCTTTCGTATATGATTTCAATTCTTCTAATTCTTTCTTAACTTTCTGAAAAAATTTGTTTTGAATTTTTAAAAATTAAAGAAAGCAAACTACCATTCACATAGATGAGTATTTGACTTTATGAAAATCCCGGAAATTTTTTTTCTATGACAATCCCAGAAAATTATTTTATTAAAAATTGATTGCATTTAACTGACAAATGGAATTTAGATTATTTAACTTTTTACAAAAAGGGATTTCTATTATTATTTAAAATATTAAAAAGCAAAAAAAAAAAAAGAAAAAAAATTGTTACAAAAATTGATCTCGTGAAAATTTTAATTATAGAAAACATATTTGTTTAAATGCAAAAGTTGTCGTATGTAAAATTTTATGTAAAAATATATTAACTTTTTTTCAAATTAATATCAGAAAAAAACCGGAGATTTCTGGAAAAATTAAAGGTGTTTTAAGTGAATTTCCAGAATTCCAGGAATTTCTGGAAAAAATATTTTAAGATTAGCTTCAGCCTTAAACTTGCTAGCTTCAGCCCTAAACTCGCTAGCTTCAGCCCTAAACTCGGATTAAAACTAACCATAACAATTTCTATCCCAACAAACCAAGAAGTAATTAAAAAATCAATCAAAAATAAAAATTATTATTAAAATAATTATTAAAAAAAAGTAAACCTTATGATTAATTATTTGACTTTTTAATTCAATAACTTCTGCCTAAGAAAATAAAATGAATTTAAATTAAAACACCAAAAAATATTGTTACAATTTCTAATAAAAATTGTAAAAATGTAATAAAATTGCTTTACATTGATTAATAAAAACTTATTTATATGAAAAAATATTAAACCATTAGAAAATTATACGTTATTTTTTTCAACCAACATTCTGATATCATCTCCTAGTTTATTCTTTGTTTCTTCAAGCTTCAAGCGATGAGCTTCAGCTTCACTATGAAGCTCTTTAGAACTGGCATCAAGCAAATTCTTTCTTTTTTCAGCTAACTAAAAAAAACGTTAAACATTACTAAAATTAATAATTTACATAATCAACTTGATGATAAATCAGCATGACCAATATATGTTAACAACTATATTATTAATTAAAACAATTATGAAATAATAACAAAACTTATTACCATATATAAAAATACATACATACATACAAGCATGCATACAAACATACACACATACATACATATATATTAAGCTTTTTTTTCCCTTTTCTTTTTTACTACATACACCTTCCAAAGGCAGAGGAAGCCCCTACAGTTGAGGAGACAACTCATCTACATTAATGGATTAACACGGACCAAATACTATATTGTATAATGCACTTATTTCCATTATCTTATACTCATGTTTTGGTCTCTCTGTGTTTAGTTGCAGATGAATTAATCTTAACACTTGAAATTTACTGGAGTTTACCTTGTTAAAATAACTGGTTAAACCATTGTTTTACAGATGTCAACTGGATTTTGTTACAGAAGCAGATATGCAAACAAGTGTTAACTATTAAAAATACTGACTGAATACCTAATGAAGGAGATGTAATTGTACTCATGTACTGAGTATTTGAAAACAAAAATATAAAAAATAGTAACCCATTATCAATTCATTTTTTCAATTTTAGTTAATTGTTACTGCTTCCAGACTTTTCTTTTAAGTCCTATAGTTTTAATAATTTTTATTTATTTTTAATAGATATAGCATAATAGAAATTATTATTTAATATGAAAAAAATTAAAAGTAATTGACAAAACTCCGCTTTAATTTATTTTATATTTAAAACAGTCAGAAAAGAAAATGCTTAGAAAAGAAAATTCTAGCTTGCTGAACAAATTTTATCTTATTCATATCTTTATAAAAAAAAATCTCTTCAACATTAACAACATTCTCCAAGACAACAATTTTTAGATATCAATAATTTCTAATTTCGAAAATCAGAACAACTGCCAATAAGGTTCTTAAAAAAATTACAAAAACTGGTGTGTACAAGCCAATTACTAAAAAAGATGGTTATTTCATTATACCAAAATCAATAATGCTTCATACAAGGCCGAATGCATAAAGATTTATTTCACTAGTATATCAATTTATAAGATGTATTTATATATATATATATATATATATATATATATATATATATATATATACATATATGTGTTTGTATGTATATATGTATGTATGTATGTATAATATTACTTCATTTGCTTTACTGAGTTCCAGCTTTATTATTGAAAGTTCTTCTTCTAATATATTTTGCTTTTTATTGAGTTGGTTATTTTCTTCTGACAGCACCTAAGTTGAATTAAAAAGCATAATAACAATTTTTTATTTTCTTTATCTTTATTTATTACAGTATTCACAACCTAAGAATGTATTATTATTGTTATTATTATTGTTATTATTATTCTAGCATCAAAAATGCCTTAAACATAAAACAAAAAAGTCTCAATGCTTAAAAAATTAAATATATATAAAGAATAAAGACAGTTTAACTTCTTAAGTAAAACTAACACAGCCTGCATCAATTAAATTACAAAAACTGCAAAAAAACATAAAATAGCAAACATTAAATAACTAATAATAAAAAATGAATTGTAAACTCGTAAAGAGTTGTCAAAATATAATAATATGAATCCTAATCTTAATAGCAAGAGTGTCAATGTTGTTTAACCCATCAGATGGTAGAGACTGAAATATGACAAAACATAAGAAACAATTAAGAAATACAGTAAAGCTCAAAGAATGTCCTCAGCAAAC